TTATTTTTGTCTATACTTTTAACTCTATTTTCTTTCCATTACTGCTTTCCATCTGCTAACCAAAGTTTTGAATATTCTTCTACTATATGAACATCTGAACTTTGAAAACACACAACTATGATGTAAAGAAAACCCTATTCCAGGAACATTGTGAGCAGAGGATCCTCCATGTATCATTCTGAAAGGCTCCCTTGCCCTTCAGTGCCATTCCTACCTTTCACATTTCTTTGGTGCAGTTAGTTCCATAAATAAATCTCAAAGGTCATAATAAAAAGCCGCGCTCCAGAATCATTTACATTGCAGACACATATAAATGGGGAAAAGAGCCAAAGCAATGTGGAAAAAAATTCAAGCCCTACTGAAATTGTATACTTTTTTATCGTTACCTAACAACCATGGGTTTACTTCTTTGTATTATCATTATTTTCTTATTTTAGTACGGATAGATGAAATTTCAGTAATTCAAATTTATATTTGTTATTATTGCTAAAGCCATGCAGTTTAAATTCAGAGAAGCATACAGAAGTTAGGATGTTGAATGTAATCCAAGGTACTGAACCTCTTAATTATGCGAGTGGACTGAAAATCTTGAAAGGACACATTTTCCAGAAATATCTGAACCTTCCCTTTCCTGGTCTGTCTTGGAGTTCAAGTCCAGAGTATAATTTATGCTGGAATTTCAGCACTTCCCCATTATCTAAAAGTGCAGACTTGCAAAAAGCATTAGGCATATTTCCCATCCTCAGAAAAGACTGAATTCTGAAAAAAAGGTTTGCTTGGCTCTTAACTGACATTACCAGACATGAATGAAAATCACCACAAAGTAAAAAGTTATTGCAATGACAATTTTTCTTGGTATTTCTTGATTAATATTTATTTAGTGAGTGTCTATAAAGGCAAGATAAACATGTGCACAAGCAAAGCAAGGCTTATCTTCATTTTCTCACAGTTGTCATATTGTATCTATTTTAAACAAATATTATCTTATTTTATATATATATATATATTAAATAACATATAATAATATATAATATATAATAATATATAATATAATAATATATATTGCAGACGCATCCAACGGTGCCAGTTAAGATCAGGAAAGAATTGTGTTAGGTGCTGTACAAAAATGAAAATCGACAAAATTCCCACCAAAAAACATTTACAATTGAACAATATGACAGTGAGCCTATTTACTTCATCCTGGGTTGTGGGATATGTAAAATTCATTGTTTAAAAGGTTTCACCAAACATCTACAGGCACACCAATTTAAAACATATTTAATGAAAGGCTCCATTAGAAAGGCAAGTATATATAGTGCACAGTAATGAAGTATTACCAAGGCTTCTTTAATAATGGTACATGCAGACACTCCCAGGACCTGAACTATGATCACGTGGCTTACTTTAAGCTGTGTGATCATAGATCAGGTCCCACTTGTGCAGATGTTCACCAGTGCTGGGAGCTGCACCTGGAATGTGCTTGAAATAAGTAGGGGTGGAGGAGAGGTGAGTGGCATTGAGGGGGTGGCAGGGAGTCGGTGGGGGGTTTGGTGGGTCTGGGGATGTTTGATGGGATCAGGGGGGCTGGCAGGTCTTCACAGGGTGGGAGGTTGTCCATCTGGAGGTGGGGGATTGTGAGGCTAAAAATAGCCCAGTCAGGATTT